AAGGGAAGGGAAGGGAAGGGAAGGGAAGGGAAGGGAAGGGAAGGGAAGGGAAGGGAAGAACGAAAGAAAGAAAGAGAAGGAGGAGAGAAAAAGAAGGAAGGAAGGCAGGTGGACAAAAAAGCAAAGCAAAGCAAAGCTGCGAAGACTCCTCTTCGGAACACGCCGTTGCACGGGGTCGAAGCCCCCCAAAGAGAACGCAAAGGCACCTTTTTTCCAAAGCGACGTACACTTGCACACCAACACCCCCCCCCGCCTTGAGCGTGTCGAGCCCCGCGAGAACCAGCCCTCCATCGCTTCTCTTCCTGGGTTGCCTGGCAACCCCGTGCCTGGGAAAGCCTGCCCAGAAGGGAAAGCGGCGAGACCGCCAGGCGCTGCCCCCCCCCTCCGCGCAAGGGAGAATTCCCCGCTTGCGGCTGGAGGGCAGGGAGACCCCTCGGAGACCCGGGGGCACCTCAGGGCAGGGCAGAGCGGGAGAGACGCCTTGGGGCCCACCCGGCAAGCTAGGGGATCCCCAGAGCTCCTCTAGACGGTCCCTTGGGCCGCGGCCTCCCGCTTTCTTTCGGACCGTCCTCTCCCGGGGATCGGGGAGTGGCGGTCCGAAGGATCCAGGGGGTTCTGATCGGCCAGCTTTTCTGGGGCAAAATGTCCCCCAAGTGGGGCTTCCCCCAGCCCAGCCACTAGGCAGGCCCCATCAGTCCCATCGCTTCAGGATGCCCCCCACCCAGCCTCCCCATCCTGGCCTTCGTCGGCAGAATTACCTTGGAGAGATCGACCAGCGTGTTGGCTTGGTCGCTCAGCTTCCTTTGCTCCATCTTCACACTCCTCAACCTAGAAAAAGCGACAAAACCACCAGAGGAGGCGTGAGACCCTCCCTCTCTTTCCCTCTCCGCCCCCAGTCCTCAGCCCCACGCTCTCTTCTCGCCCCGCCTGGAACAGCCCCACTGAGGACTAGAAACCTGGCCAGTCCCCCGTGATGAGACCCAGCGGAAAAGCGGAGGCCGGCAACGCAACCGACTCACAGCCCCTCGCAGAAGCCTGACCCGATGGGGGCAGAAAAACCCCAAATTGAACCCAGAGCCCAGTTCCTCCCCTCTCCCGAGACCCCAAAGCAAACGTCGCCGCCCGAGCCGAAGGAAAGGAGCGTGACTTACTGGTGGATGGCTTGGAGGAATTTCCTCTGGTGCTTCCGGATTTTGCCGTGGTCGATCTTCTTCAACAGCTTGGTATGTTTGTGAATGAGCCACGTTTCCCGAAGGACGTTGGCCGCGGCGTTCTTGATCTGCCGAAGCAAGCACAAAAACGTGGCCCCGTGGCTTCCCCTCGGGAGAGAATTCGAGCTCCCTTTCCAAGGGGGCAGCTGGCGGGCGTTTTAGACTACAACTCCCATCCGCGCCGGACGGGACGTGCGGGAAGGGTCATTCCAAACAGCTTAAAAGAACCGAAAAAAGGAGGAAACCGCCAACGCGAATCTCTCTTTGCGTGACATGTGGTCGCCTGACATCTTTGTCCCTACAGTAAGAAGCTTGGTTAATGTTTTTTTTTTAATCTTGGTTAGTTTCTTTCTGGTTTACCCAGGCTAATTTTTGTAGAAAGCCCCCGAACGAAGCCAGTAACTAAGTCCAGTGTTTCGTGCAAACAGCACACGGCATCTTGAGAGCAGAAGAGATCTGAGGTCAGCATTTCTCAACCTTGGCAAGTTGAAGATGGGTGGACTTCAACT